CTTCCCCGAGACTGTGGGTGAGTTTCGGTAGTTGGTAAATAAGCTGTTAAATGTGATATGAGAGTGTTTGTAGCCGCAATTATCATACTCATTACTGAGCTGCTTATTATTCAATGTATACATAAATGGCCAATGAAATACACAGCCTTCTCTGTACACCTTACGAGTCATTAATTAGCACATTAAGAGACATACAGTTGGTTGTATGTGTTCGAATGTCGAGGTTTCTTGGCCAATCAATGTAAAGGTTATGTGTTAGTATTTGCTTTTATAACAATTTCAACATCGTTACAGTTCTTCTGTTTCATGGCGGATTTATTATAAGATAGGGTGTGAAAAAAGAGCTATCAAATAAGCTTGAATTCAGATACATAAGGAAGTGTCTTGTAGACAAAAATATATTTTATATGTTGCTTGTAAGTGGTTGACATAAGGAAAGACGTAGCACTAAGACAGTTCGAAATAATTTTACGTCAGGTGCAGTAAAAATACGCATGAATTGTGTGCTAATTAAATAATCATAATTTTGTTTATTTTTATGTTGAAACTGGTGTGATTTATTCCGGAAACACTGAAGTTACACTGGTACTCCTGTAGGGGATTAATAGTTCATAAGTAACGGAATATTTGTCCTCCGGATTCGTACCTCTCATCTTCTTGTCTTAACGCTTTAGGCGTTCTTTATCCCGTCTTCAAACCGTGTTTGTTATTTCGTGTTTTCTTCTGTCATTTGTTTTCAGCTTCTCCATCTACATGGCCGTTCCATCTCTTTTTCTTCGTAACGCTATGTTTATTTGCATCGTACATCAGAAGCTTGTGTCTTATGCTTCCACCGCATTTTCTACGTAAGACAGGTAATCTTAAACATCTGTTAAGAATCTGAAAGACTTTCGATCATTTATGATTCATTAAATGCAACATAAAACAGAGGCTCTCGTAAATCACGTCCGTTGATGTCGTATTTTATGAGTTCCGGTTTACAGTTCATTTATTGTGGGGCTTTCACTCTAATTACATGCCCTGATTGCCTTGAAAAGTCTGTCCAGCATTCCACAGAACTTAACTGTCTATTCTAGATTATGAAAAATATGACAGCTGGCTACGAAGTATATCCTTGGCTTGGATTTTGAGTCTCACATTATCAAATAATTGTTGTGCTGTTGTACATGTTTCGTTATTAAGCGTTATTTTTACTCGGTATATAAAGTGAACGCGTAATGGAAGATGTTTGTCCATCCTGCTACCCGCTAACCTTCATGATTCTGGCTCCAAACTATTTAATGAATTTTGAAGTTGCTAGGCAGGAGTAATCGTGGTCCGGCTTGACTCATTAATGTGTCTCGTATAAAATTTAAATCTAACTTTATGTATGCAGTTTCTCAAAAACATACAGTAGAATATTGGATACATGGATAAAATTTGCTGAAATGAAGTTTTTTATAACTGTCAAAGGGAGTATTCGTTTGGATAGAATAAATAATGATGTTAATAGAAGAACTTAATATAGTGTATTCTCTATAAGAAACAAAGTAACTTCACACACAAAAGTGAACAGAACAATTAAATATCAAAACATACATTACCAAAATCTGTTTCTAATCGCCGGCTTCGAGCAAGGAGATATGT